TTTCAGAGGTATTTAAACTTTTAGTAAATGTTTCTCTAACTCGGAGTTCTGTACTTTTGGCTCCCACGGTAAGCCAGAACCCTGACTTTGTAGGTGGATGAATATGGAAAACATTGTAGAACACTTCTCTGAGAGTTTTTCTTTCAACTATATGGCACAGGAAATACTATTTAGATGGCACTATTATAAGGTGGGCGCATAACTGGTTGGAAAACCGTTCCCAGAGAGTATTTATCAGTGTTTCACAGTCAAACTGAAAGGGCATATCAAGTGGTGTCCTATAGGGATCAGTTCTGGGTCTGGTTTTGTTCAATATCTTCATCATGATTTGGATAATGGCATAGAGAGTATACTTATAAAGAGATACCAAGCTGGGAGGGGTTGCAAGTGCTTTGAGGATAGGATTAAAATTCAATATGATCTGGACAAACTGGAGAAATTGGATAAAATTCAATAAGGATGAATGCAAAGACTCCACTTAAGAAGAAACAACCAGTTGCACACACATAAAATGGGAAATGACTTCCAAGGAGGGAGTACTGGGGAAAGGTATCTGGGGGGTCATAGTAGATCACAAGCTAAATATGAATCAACAGTGTAACATTTGAAAAAGTTGCAAAAAGAAAAAGAAAGAAAACATCATTCTGGGACATATTAGCAAGCGTGTTGTAAGCAAGACACAAGAGGTAATTCTTTCACTCTACTCCATGCTGAATAGGTCTTAGGAGTATTGTATCCAGTTCTGGGTGCCACATTTCAGGAAATGTGGACAAATTGGAGAAGGTCCTGAGAAGAGTAACAAAAATGATTAAAGGTCTAGAAAACATGACCTGTGAGGGAAGATGGAAAAAAATGGGTTTGCTGAGTCTGGAGAAGAGAAGACTGAGGGTGGGACATAACAGTTTTCAAGTACATAAAAGGTTGTTACAAGGAGAAGTGAGAAAAAATGTTTTTTTTAACCTCTGAGGCTAGGAAAAGAAGCAATAGGCTTAAATTGCAGCAAGGGTAGTTTGTTGGACATTAGGAAAAACTTTCTAACTGTCAGAGTGGTTAAGCATTGGAATAAATTGCCCAGGGAGGTTGTGGAATCTCCATCATTAGAGATTTTTAAGAGCAGGTTAGACAAACACCTGTCAGGGAAGGTCTTGACAATACTTCGTCCTGGCATGAGTGCAGGAGAATGGACTAGAAGACCTCTCTAGGTCCCTTCCAGTCCTACGATTCTATGATGGACAAAATCCATGATCATTTGGTGTTCCATAAAGATATATTAACATTTGTTTGGCACAGGCAGCGTGCTGTTACTCACTCTTGGTTTTGCCACTTGCAAGTAATGAGGAATTCCTAAACTATTGCCAATTAAACCTCTGTACCTCGCCATTATTTTTGTATGTTTGCTTGTGTGTTTGATATTAGAACACTTTTGGCTCAAGCCCCCTGTTACTATCTGAGTCAATGGAGTTAGGTCAATGGAGTTGGAGCATACAGACTGATAAGCCTGAGTTTTGTGCTGAGCCCATTCAAGTGTCAGTCTAAGCTTCCTGTTACTGGATTTTGTCTACAACAGTAAGTAGTAATTTGTTGCTGATCCCTACTTGCATTTCTCTCTTTCTTAAGTTGTAATCTGTTTTCACTGAGAAAATATAGAGGTGCAAAGAAAATATTTATAGTTTATTTTTAACAATATGCTGCATACTCTAGTAGAAGAGATAATACTACAGGATGTTATAAATTCCTTGATCAGTCAGTCCTTTTCCATAAAAGGAGGTAAAGGGACAGTGGAGTTACACCAAGACTGAATTTGGCCCTGTGTGTCCAAGTATTTATTAATGTGACTTGTTTTATGGGTAGATCTTCTCAATTTTCAGTCCACAATCTGTCCATAGTGACTTATTCTTTGCTACTCATTCATACGAATTTGTGCAATTCAGTCCTAAAAACCCTATTGTGTGGGTGAACATAGAAGGGATGAGCAGAATATGAAAATATAGACCTAAACACATTTGTGTTTTGGAACCATCCTTTCCTTCACAACTCAGTTGCAGATGCTCGGCCACACAGATTATTGCTTTTTTTATATTTTATTAGTGTAGGCTAATAGATTCATTGCAGCTCCTTTGCTCTTTTGTTCATTTTTTCTTTTTTCTGTACACTGTCCTGATAGGTTTGTAAAGTCAATGTCCCTAAACAGCATCTACAGCTGAGATTAAAAAAAAGCTAACATTGAAGCCTGTCAAACCGGTTTTGGTCACTGAATGACTCATGTCTGCCATGGTGAGAAAGTGAATCATATTTGTCTCCCTTCATCATTTATTGCAGAGGGACAGTACTTTGCCTGTCTTTGAGATTAAAATCTGGAAACACCTTTTCAGAACCATGTCTGGTCTCTAATGATAGGTGATAGATACAGAATAACTTAACAGATCACTAATGCCTTAAGATGCTGTGTGTGTTCACTTTGTACCTTTTCAAAATTAATTGGAAGGGTTTTTGTCCAGCTCATTGACCTGAACTGGTCAAAAGTAGATATGGGGCACAACTAGACCACTCTGAACTTTCAATCTCACCCAAACGCTGACGATGTTGATTGGTGATGGGGAGTTGAATATAAGGGACCTGGTTTTAGTTTGGCAAAACAAACTGACCAAGAGCTTTCTAAAGGATAAATGTACATTTTTGCTTATCATTGTTTAAAATAGAGGGTGGCCAAAACAGGACCCAAACTTTGATGGGTAATTGGATAAATAGGGCTCAGATCCAATAGCAGCTAATTTCAGGCTTTGGCTTAGTAACAAAAATGTTGTTACCATCTTCCCACCCCCCAGACACATTGCGTGCATGTGTGTAAGTAAAACAATATATAATTAGTATTTTTAAGTTTCTAAGAATTAGATTGGCTCTGGATAGTGAAATCATCTTAAGTTTTAACCAAGTGCAATAGTTCTGGTACCTGATGTGAACAACTCCAACCATTATATATGGGAATGCCGATCACCTTGGTGGCCTGACTAATTCCTGTTTGGTTTCTGAAAGAGATGTTACTTATGTCAAATTGTTTTTTTTAAAGTGAGAATATGGGGCTGTTGGCAAAATACAGCGACAATTGAGCAGACAACTGTGCAGCTGCATTTCAGTCTATATCAATGCAGTACAGAACTGATGGAAATATTAACTTAACTAACATTAAGTTTTTCAGAAAACTTGCAGGGTGATCCTAATGAATGACTCAGCAACCAGTGTCCATCTGCAAATACTGGATACTTTATCTGTTTTATGGACTGTCTCATGTTTGTTGCAAATTAGTTCCAGAACCATAGAATTTTCACTCAGCAACTGGAAAACTACTTCAGGATTTGGCAGTTAATTGTCCTGGGATCTAACCTGAGTGGCTGAGATCAAGGAATTTATTCTTGTTTTTCATGGACTTATGCATGTGTTTAAATTTTTCAGTGGATTTTGTTTTGTTTTTTTGGATTGATCTACAGAAATGAGAACTTCAGCTATGAATATTTTGGACACCATAGAAATCAGCCATAGACCCAATTTATTTGTTTAAAGTAATATTTTGTGTATTTACCTTGTTTAGTTCCAAGAACAACAGGCACAGAGATGAGGTGGTTCAAGGACTGTAGCTCTTTCAGCAGTGTAGGGTCTCTAGAGGGCCAAGCTACAACAGTGGTTGGGATTTGCTTTTGGCACTAATCAGATAGTATCAATCATAACTCAGTTCTCTTGGCTTCACACACCTGATACCCCTTCTCCACCATTTGATATTCTCTGCCTAGGTTTGATTGTTAGGGCTGGAAAAGGGCATGTTGTGGTGGAACTAAAAATGGAGGGAGAAACAAGTGTTCTAAAATCTAGTTTTGTAAGTCTTGGGTCTCTCAATGTATGTGCTCCTCTATTGGGATGGAAGACCTGAGGTAAGAGAGCAACCATATTTTTTACCTGCTTACAGGCTGTGGTATAGATTAGAGATTAGTGTGTGTGACTTATTAAAATAGAAGGAAGCCAAAGGCATCTCTTTCCACAAACATTTTTCCAGGAACATTGATTTGAATTTTGGAATGGATTCATTTTAATCAAGTTTGTGCATCTCTTATGCCTGCACATTCAAATGATTGGGTTTTAAGTGGTACGAAAGTTTGCAGAAAGCAAATTACTAACTGGCAGAAACCATAGAAACCAAAGTTTGCTTTCACATCCTGCACAAGTATTTTTGCCAGAAGCACTTATACACGCGTTCAGTTAGGAACTGAAACTATATCATTCAACTTAACTAGCCAATCACAACTAACCTGTGCAGCTCAAATAGCAAAGTTACTTTAATATACTTTACTAGATTGTGCTATCATTACTTATGCAGAGTAGTACCTTACTCTCCAGGTAATCCTGTTGCCCTTAGTGGGACTACTTGCGGAATAAGATAATTTTCACCTTTTGTAGGTGTAACATTTTGCAAACTCTTCAAGGCAGGCATTGTCTTTGCTATTGTATTCACATAGGTGCTGTGTACAATAGGGCAACTGGGCCTTACTGATATACAAATAAGAAATATTCGGAAATTTGTTCACGACCTTGTTTCTCAAAGAAAATTGAGACCCTCCTCCCCAATCTTCACAATTTTTGTTGAAAGATTTTGAATAACAAATAGAATGTAAGCCCTGGTCTACACTAGGACTTTAGGTCGAATTTAGCAGCGTTAAATCGATGTAAACCTGCACCCGTCCACACAATGAAGCCCTTTATTTCGACTTAAAGGGCTCTTAAAATCGATTTCCTTACTCCACCCCTGACAAGTGGATTAGCGCTTAAATCGACGTTGCCGGCTCGAATTTGGGGTACTGTGGACACAATTCGATGGTATTGGCCTCCGGGAGCTATCCCAGAGTGCTCCATTGTGACCGCTCTGGACAGCACTCTCAACTCAGATGCACTGGCCAGGTAGACAGGAAAAGAACCGCGAACTTTTGAATCTCATTTCCTGTTTGGCCAGCGTGGCAAGCTGCAGGTGACCATGCAGAGCTCATCAGCAGAGGTGACCATGATGGAGTCCCAGAATCGCAAAAGAGCTCCAGCATGGACCGAACGGGAGGTACGGGATCTGATCGCTGTTTGGGGAGAGGAATCCGTGCTATCAGAACTCCGTTCCAGTTTTCGAAATGCCAAAACCTTTGTGAAAATCTCCCAGGGCATGAAGGACAGAGGCCATAACAGGGACCCGAAGCAGTGCCGCGTGAAACTGAAGGAGTTGAGGCAAGCCTACCAGAAAACCAGAGAGGCGAACAGCCGCTCTGGGTCAGAGCCCCAAACATGCCGCTTCTATGATGAGCTGCATGCCATTTTAGGGGGTTCAGCCACCACTACCCCAGCCGTGTTGTTTGACTCCTTCAATGGAGATGGAGGCAATACGGAAGCAGGTTTTGGGGACGAAGAAGATGATGATGAGGAGGAGGTTGTAGATAGCTCACAGCAAGCAAGCGGAGAAACCGGTTTTCCCGACAGCCAGGAACTGTTTCTCACCCTAGACCTGGAGCCAGTACCCCCCGAACCCACCCAAGGCTGCCTCCTGGACCCAGCAGGCGGAGAAGGGACCTCTGGTGAGTGTACCTTTTAAAATACTATACATGGTTTAAAAGCAAGCATGTGAAAGGATTACTTTGCCCTGGCATTTGCGGTTCTCCTAGATGTAGTCCTAAAGCCTTTGCAAAAGGTTTCTGGGGAGGGCAGCCTTATTGCGTCCTTCATGGTAGGACACTTTACCACTCCAGGCCAGTAACACGTACTCGGGAATCATTGTACAGCAAAGCATTGCAGTGTATGTTTGCTGGCATTCAAACAAACATCTGTTCTTTATCTCTCTGTGTTATCCTCAGGAGAGTGAGATATAATTCATGGTCACCTGGTTGAAATAGAATGCTTTTCTTCAGGGGACACTCAGAGGAGCCCATTCCTGCTGGGCTGTTTGCCTGTGGCTAAACAGAAATGTTCCCCGCTGTTAGCCACAGGGAGGGGGGAAGGTTGAGGGGGTAGTCACGCGGTGGGAGGAGGCAAAATGCGACCTTGTAACGAAAGCACATGTGCTATGTATGTAATGTTAACAGCAAGGTTTACCCTGAAAGAGTGTAGCGACTGTTTTATAAAATGTGTCTTTTTAAATACCGCTGTCCCTTTTTTTTTCTCCACCAGCTGCATGTGTTTCAATGATCACAGGATCTTCTCCTTCCCAGAGGCTAGTGAAGCTTAGAAAGAAAAAAAAACGCACTCGCGATGAAATGTTCTCCGAGCTCATGCTGTCCTCCCACACTGACAGAGCACAGATGAATGCGTGGAGGCAAATAATGTCAGAGTGCAGGAAAGCACAAAATGACCGGGAGGAGAGGTGGCGGGCTGAAGAGAGTAAGTGGCAGGCTGAAGAGAGTAAGTGGCGGGCTGAAGACAGGGCTGAAGCTCAAATGTGGCGGCAGCGTGATGAGAGGAGGCAGGATTCAATGCTGAGGCTGCTGCAGGACCAAACCAGTATGCTCCAGTGTATGGTTGAGCTGCAGCAAAGGCAGCTCGAGCACAGACTGCCACTGCTGCCCCTCTGTAACCAACCGCCCTCCTCCCCAAGTTCCATAGCCTCCACACCCAGACGCCCAAGAACGCGGTGGGGGGCCTCCGCCAACCAGCCACTCCACCACAGAGGATTGCCCAAAAAAAAGAAGGCTGTCATTCAATAAATTTTAAAGTTGTAAACTTTTAAAGTGCTGTGCTTAAAGTGCTGTGTGGCATTTTCCTTCCCTCCTCCACCACCCCTCCTGGGCTACCTTGGTAGTCATCCCCCTATTTGTGTGATGAATGAATAAAGAATGCATGAATGTGAAGCAACAATGACTTTATTGCCTCTGCAAGCGGTGATTGAAGGGAGGAGGGGCGGGTGGTTAGCTTACAGGGAAGTAGAGTGAACCAAGGGGCGGGGGGTTTCATCAAGGAGAAACAAACAGAACTTTCACACCGTAGCCTGGCCAGTCATGAAACTGGTTTTCAAAGCTTCTCTGATGCGTACCGCGCCCTCCTGTGCTCATCTAACCGCCCTGGTGTCTGGCTGCATGTAACCAGCAGCCAGGCGATTTGCCTCAACCTCCCACCCCGCCATAAACTTCTCCCCCTTACTCTCACAGATATTGTGGAGCACACAGCAAGCAGTAATAACAGTGGGAATATTGGTTTCGCTGAGGTCTAAGCGAGTCAGTAAACTGCGCCAGCGCGCCTTTAAACGTCCAAATGCACATTCTACCACCATTCTGCACTTGCTCAGCCTGTAGTTGAACAGCTCCTGACTACTGTCCAGGCTGCCTGTGTACGGCTTCATGAGCCATGGCATTAAGGGGTAGGCTGGGTCCCCAAGGATACATATAGGCATTTCAACATCCCCAACAGTTATTTTCTGGTCTGGGAATAAAGTCCCTTCCTGCAGCTTTTGAAACAGACCAGAGTTCCTGAAGATGCGAGCATCATGCACCTTTCCCGGCTATCCCACGTTGATGTTGGTAAAACGTCCCTTGTGATCCACCAGAGCTTGCAGCACTATCAAAAAGTACCCCTTGCGGTTTATGTACTCGGCGGCTTGGTGCTCCGGTGCCAAGATAGGGATATGGGTTCCGTCTATAGCCCCACCACAGTTAGGGAATCCCATTGCAGCAAAGCCATCCACTATGACCTGCACATTTCCCAGGGTCACTACCCTTGATATCAGCAGATCTTTGATTGCGTGGGCTACTTGCATCACAGCAGCCCCCACAGTAGATTTGCCCACTCCAAATTGATTCCCAACTGACTGGTAGCTGTCTGGTGTTGCAAGCTTCCACAGGGCTATCGCCACTCGCTTCTCAACTGTGAGGGCTGCTCTCATCTTGGTATTCATGCGCCTCAGGGCAGGGGAAAGCAAGTCACAAAGTTCCATGAAAGTGCCCTTACGCATGCGAAAGTTTCACAGCCACTGGGAATCGTCCCAGACCTGCAACACTGTGCGGTCCCACCAGTCTGTGCTTGTTTCCCGAGCCCAGAATCGGCGTTCCACAGCATGAACCTGCCCCATTAGCACCATGATGCATGCATTGGCAGGGCCCATGCTTTCAGAGAAATCTGTGTCCATGTCCTGATCACTCACGTGACCGCGCTGACGTCGCCTCCTCGCCCGGTATCGCTTTGCCAGGTTCTGGTGCTGCATATACTGCTGGATAATGCGTGTGGTGTTTAATGTGCTCCTAATTGCCAAAGTGAGCTGAGCGGCCTCCATGCTTGCCTTGGTATGGCGTCCGCACAGAAAAAAGGCACGGAACGATTGTCTGCCGTTGCTCTGACGGAGGGAGGGGCGACTGACGACACGGCTTACAGGGTTGGCTTCAGGGAGCTAAAATCAACAAAGGGGGTGCCTGTACATCTAGGAGTATTTCAGGCAGGACTTCACGGAGGGTTCCAATAAGAAATGGTGCACCTAAGTTATCGTTCTTATTGGAACAAGGAGGTTAGCCTGGCCTCTGACTGATACATGCCTAGATTTACCTCGCTGCACCTTCTCTGTGAGTGACTGCAGTGTGATCTAGAGGAATGAGTCCCCTAGACAGGGGAGGAGGCAAATGAGTACAAAACAAATCTGGTCTATTTCTTGTTTTGACCCACTCCATCTATCTTTTACATCTTTGGCTGGCAGCAGACGGTGCAGAAGGACTGCATGCCATCCACATCTCATGGCTGCTCGGCAGAAGATGGTACAGTACGACTGCTAGCCATCCCCATCTCTTGCCTGTGGAGAAGATGGTACAATACGACTGCTAGAATCCCATCTCTTGCCTGCCTGGCAGAAGATGGTACAGTACGACTGCTAGCAGTCCGTATCGCCTGCCCGCTCACCATAAGACGGTTCAATAGGACTGACTGCAGGACTAAAGAGAATGAACTGGTCAAGTTACTCCCAATTTAGTCCCTGCACCCATGTCTGCCCAGGTGCTCCCAGCCGACGTGGCCAGGAGCACCTCGGACACGACGAGGACGACTACCAATCATATTGCACCGTCTGCTGCCAGAAGGCAATGGGTTGCTGCTACTGTGCAGCAAAGCCGTACCGCGTCTGCCAGCACCCAGGAGACATAGGGTGACGGTTACCTGAGCGGGCTCCATGCTTGCCGTGGTATGGCGTCTGCACAGGTAACTCAGGAAAAAAGGCGCGAAATGATTGTCTGCCCTTGCTTTCACGGAGGGAGGGAGGGAACGGGGGCCTGACGATATGTACCCAGAACCACCCGCGACAATGTTTTAGCCCCATCAGAGTGCTCCATTGTGACTGCTCTGGACAGCACTCTCAGATGCCCGATTGTTTGCCGTTGCTCTGACGCCGGGAGGGGCACTTACAGGGTTGGCTTCAGGGAGCTAAAATCAACGAAGGGGGTGGCTTTACATCTAGGAGTATTTCAGGCAGGACTTCACGGAGGGTTCCAATAAGAAATGGTGCACCTAAGTTATTGTCCTTATTGGAACAAGAAGGTTAGCCTGGCCTCTGATTGATACATGCCTAGATTTACCTTGCTGCACCTTCTCTGTGAGTGACTGCAGTGTGATCTAGAAGAATGAGTCCCCTAGACAGGGGAGGGGGGGAAGCAAATGAGTACAAAACAGATCTGGTCTATTTCTTGTTTTGATCCACTCCATCTATCTTTTACATCTTTGGCTGGCAGCAGACGGTGCAGAAGGACTGCATGCCATCCACATCTCATGGCTGCTCGGCAGAAGATGGTACAGTACGACTGCTAGCAGTCCGTATCGCCTGCCCGCTCACCATAAGACGGTTCAATAGGACTGACTGCAGGCAGGACTAAAGAGAATGATCTGGTCAAGTCACTCCAAATTTAGTCCCTGCACCCATGTCTGCCCAGGCGCTACCAGCCGACGTGGCCAGGAGCACCTCGGACATGACGATGACGGCTACCAGTCGTACTGTACCGTCTGCTGCCACAAGGCAAGGGGTTGCTGCTACTGTGTAGCAATGCCGTACCGCGTCTGCCAGCACCCAGGAGACATAGGGTGACGGTTACCTGAGCGGGCTCCATGCTTGCAGTGGTATGGCGTCTGCACAGGTAACTCAGGAAAAAAGGCGCGAAATGATTGTCTGCCCTTGCTTTCACGGAGGGAGGGAGGGAACGGGGGCCTGACGATATGTACCCAGAACCACCCGCGACAATGTTTTAGCCCCATCAGGCATTGGGATCTCAACCCAGAATTCCAATGGGCAGCGGAGACTGCGGGAACTGTGGGATAGCTACCCACAGTGCAACGCTCCGGAAGTCGACTCTAGCCTCGGTACTGTGGAAGCGCTCCGCCGAGTTAATGCACTTAATGCACTTAGAGCATTTTCTGTGGGGACACACACACTCGAATATATAAAACCGATTTCTAAAAAACCGACTTCTATAAATTCGACCTTATTCCGTAGTGTAGACATACCCTAAGGGAATTGCTCATACATACAGCTCAAGCAAAAAGAGGCTAAATTAATCAAACTGCATGATGAGAATTATTCTGCTCAGCTCTAGTCTTTTTATAATTTTTTTTCATATATTGTGTATAAACATGTATCCCTCTCTATACATTTTTATCTAACACTGATCTGTCAATTCCACACTCTACAGGGGCTACTTTTATTAATTTCTTTATTTTTAAAAGCCTCTGGTAAAATCAGTCAGCTCAGCTGTGTTTTCAGTGTCTTTCCATTTCCCCCCCCTTCAAGTACCTCTCTCCTTTCCCCCAATAGCCCTTTAGTGTTCCCATCTCTAAGAACTGCTTTTTCCTATCATGAATGAGTTTTCTGCTTTCTGTCTGCATCTGCTGCTTGCTCAGTCACTGACCTCCCAGCTGCAGAGAAACATCTTGAAATAGTGGCTAAAACATTCAGTTAGAAATAGAATATGAAAAGCAAAATAGTTTAATTTCATCACGACTAGCCCCAGAAGCTGCTCAGCAAACAGAAGTACCTTGTAATTGACACACCAGCTGAGTAGAAGCATTTGCATCATATAACCTACTTTCATTGTTTAAAGGCTAAATAATAATGAGTGCGATGACATATATTGACTGATTGGATCAACAGTGCAGATGGAAACGGTTTGAAACAGTCAAGTAAGAATTGCCAACAAACCTTCGGGTAAAAAAAAATCAATCACCTGTTTTCTTTTCTTTCCTGTGTCATGATGTAATATTTTCAAATGGAAAAATCATTCTCAGTAATGGTTATTAAGGCTCCTTCCCTAAGAAAATAGGTGATTTGCTGAGACTTTAAGAAACAGGATAGTTCAGACTTGTCCCTGTAAAGTGGTAACGTGGATAGCTTTTATCTTTTGCTATTTCTTTGTTAAATGTTTTGGTTACATTTTAAAGTAAGGGGTAGCATGGTGATGGCCAACTCCTGAAGTCCTTACTGTTTTCACTCAACCAAATCAATCAGACAAATCATTTACTTAAGCCAGAGGCTTTTGTCTTAGTAATGAATCGAGGTTTTGGTTCTAAATTGTCCATTCTTTCTTCCCTCTTGTCCTCTCCTCGTTCTCCCTGCCCCCATGTGTTCTGCAAATAGGATTTTAAATACGAGGTTTGAAGTTAAACTGTTTTGTTTAC